TTTCCATTTCCATTTCCATTTCCATTTCCCTTTCCATCTCCTTCTCCTTCTCCTCCTCCTTCTCCTTCTCCTTCTCCTTCTCCTCCCCTCCTCCTCCTCTTCCCTTTATTTTTCGTAAAAGGAAAGTTGTGGGCAGAAGTGGGAAGAAAACAAGCTAGCACATCTGTGGGCTTTTTCCTGGCAGGGAGAGAGCGAAAATAATCCGGTGAGAAAAACTCACTATTTCTGACACATTACTCCACTCCAAGACAAAATTCAGGGCAGAGGAGAGAGGAGGAAGATCATTCGCTAATATTCTATATTTATTTTTCATCCCAAGTTGGGCCAGGTCAAAGAGCTACCCTGGAGGCATTCTTGACAAATAAACTTGTTTTCCTTCATGGAAGGCAGAACCGGTGGGTGGCCGTGTGAGAAGAGAGGGTTGGCGTGGCTGGGTGGAGAGATCCGTCTGGGATCTCTCCCCCTGTTTTGTCCAATGAGGGAGACTGGCCCAAACATCTCTCCGTTGTATTTGCACAACGGCCTTGTGAGGGAGGCGAGGGGGCGAGAGAGCAGCTGTTCTGAGCTGATACTTGATGCGTTCCTTTCTTCTTCCTTGCCATTTTTTTTTCTCTCCAGTCTGGGGAAATTGCTGAGAGTGGTGCCTTTGAAGTGGTGCTCCCAGAATCTGGAATAGTTTTGCATTCCAAGAAGGTGAGAAGGGTGCTCGGGCCGAACACGATGCGCCTTCATGTGGAAATTCTCCCGCCGTGACTCACCTTTGAAATGGGAGACTCCCTAGGCCAAACCGGCTTTCTCCTGCCTGACAGCCAGCTAACCCTGATCATCAGGGGGCAGCTTAAAACACTGGTTTGCAGACCGGGGTGTGTGGTGCGTGTAACTCAGCGCGCATGCATTTCCGGCTTGCTTTTCCAGTGGTGCATTTTTGGTAACTTGAGACTCCAGATTGAATGGATTTATGCACACCCGCGCGCTCTTTAAATGACAGTGCAATTTTTTTTGGCTTGGCAAATAGGAAAACCTACCCGCTGTGGCATTTAATGCAGCCCCCACTTGGTTTTCCAGATGGGGGGGCCATGAGATTCTGGGCCAAAGTCCCGTTCATGAATCCTCAGCATCTTCAAGTCAGGCTGAGAAAGCTTTATTGCTGCCCAGAAAGGAAAAATGAAGCTTGTGAAGGAACCGATGAACTAACGTGGCTGAAAACCTGATAGTTCAAACAGATTATTTGTTCAGACCCCGTGCAGAAAAGACCAGCAATGCATCTCAGGCTTTTGAAAAGGCTGACCTCTTTGGCGGAGCAGGAAAAGACTGGATTATAAAAAGGGGCGAAGAGACCAGAACTTAGATGGTCCAGCTGAGCTTCTGACCTTTCCTGACCCCTTCCTGGTCTGTTGGCCTACATTTCCTATCGGCCTCGCTGGGGAGGATGAGATTTGTAGTCCAGCACATCAAGACGGTGCAGGGCAGGGGAAAGTTGTTCTAGAAACAAGTTTGTCCTGCAGCATTTTAGTTATCACTGAGACATTTGTAGTAGATCACCAGTGCTCTGTACCTCTTAAAGTTAAGAGCCCCTCTCCTCCCCAGCAGGGTAGGATGCAAATATATCTGGATCAAAGTCATATCACAAAAACCACATTTGTACATTTGCCCCCATTCTGCTAAAATCAAGCTCTGTTCCACCTGTAGAGCAAATTCATTCTTTTGCTTGATCATTTTTAAACTACTTGACAGGGTTGTTTTTCCTGATTTGACACAAAGATCCTGCAAAGCACCAGGGCTCCTTGGGACATCAGCAGGATATCAATATCCTAATAATAAATAGAAAATAAAATGCGTTGGGTGGGCCACTGATCACAGAGTTTAGCCAAAGAGCCGAGACTTCACCCGGTTTCCTCGCAAATGAGCTATTCAGCAAATGAGGCTCAGCCAAGGAGGGGACTGGAATCTTTCTGAAATCCACAGTAATGGTTTTCAAGGGGTATCATGGTTTATTTTTGGGAAGTTTGGCTGTGGTTGCTCAACCCTCCCAACGTGGAAGATTTGTTAGTGCAGAGATTCACGCTCCAAATCTGGAGCTGGGGAATCTCAGGAGCGCCCACGTTTGGGGCCGGGAGGTGACGGCGAGCCGGCAATTTGCGAAGAAATGAATCTTCTTTCTGCTCCCCACCCAGAATGGTGCTGGCTACGTGGACAGCAATGAGAAGGTAAAAGCCATCTGTGATGGCATTAAGAGGCACCTGCGAAGCAAGTCCTCGAAGAACAGCAAGAACAGCGTGACAGGCAAGGAGTCGCCCTCGAGAGAAGAGCAGGGCCAGCCGAGCCAGAAGCCCGAACGGAAGCCCACCGTGGAAGGACCGCTGGCCCCAGGGGCGGAGAAGAAGCCAGAAACGACCACCTCGACTGAGAAAAGCAATGATTTCGCCACCACAACCCCCAGGTATTAAGAAGGAGGCGGCCCAGGGGTTGGGGGGAAAAAAGGGGGGGTCTCGCCCTCCGTTCACCCCCAAATTGAGAAAAAAATCATTCCCCTCTATTGCAAATCATTGGAGTCTCAGATGAAATTTACGAGATTTTCTTTCCTTCCTTCCTCCCTTCTTTTCTCACTTTTTTCCTTCCTTCCTTCCTTCCTTCCTTCCTTCCCTTCCTTCCTTCCTTCCTTCCTTCCTTCCTTCCTTCCTTCCTTCCTTCCTT